ACTTACGATAATAGAACAGAGAAAAGCAGCAGTTCCTCAGAGTTCAGAAGCTGTAGTGCATCTACTTATCTGAAAATTGTTCTTGTTAATATCTTCATTTATTTTGACCCTGCTGCTCACAGGTCTGTTCATGAGCTCTGTCCTGTGCCATGCCTCGGTGGCATTTGTGTGTTCAGTGGTCCGGGGCAGTGTCGCCAGTCCTCAGCATCAACCCTTCTAAACCGATTATGTTACTTAGGAGAAGATGACACCGTAGTCTGGTGTTTCCACCGCACGCTACCAAGGGCCACGTGCCCCGTCCCATGTTGGATTTTCATCCCATGCGGAATTAGTTGAGTGCCATGCTCCTGTACCGTGTTTCTTGTTATGCACAGCGTAAGAAAAGGAGAAACTAGTTACCGGCCGTGCTAACAACAAGAAGACGTGTTGGAAAAACTGTGCAGGTTCTGGCAGCTTCCTCCTCACAGGTGCAGTGTGAGAGCTGGAAATCTCCTGAGCCAGGTACAAAAAAAACTGTTTCCCCTCCCCGAGCGTAAGTGCCAAGCCTTCTAGGCATGCCAGCCAGCGAGCAAACATGCAGATGGAGCAGACAGAAAGAGAGGATTAACCTGAGCACACAGGCCAGAAGCAAGTGTGGCAGGAAGAGCTGCCCTCCCCTCCAGTTCCTTCTGTTCCCCTCCTCCCCTCAACAACTGAACTAAACATGGGAATCTGCAGAATCAAGCTACAATTTTCTTTATAATTCTTGATTAATCTGCTGATTAGTTTATTGCCCCTTTCTTAAAATTTTTGTCAACAAAATATCTGAAAATAAATAATGAAAAATGCCCTTCAGTTTCTCTGAATCCATGTCTTCACAGTCCAAAACCCCACTCTGTTTAATTTATAGTTCTACAAAACACAGAAAGGCAGCCAATACAAAACCGGTGGTTGAGAGCCACTGTACCAGAGTCAAGCTCCTCGTGTGTTCAACACACCTGGCCAATAAAACTGATTCTGATGTGTAGAAGTCCAAAGTTGTGCAGTCTCTGTTTGAGGTCTAGTGAACAGTAAACTGGGTGAGGCTCTGTTTGCAACAAGACGTAACGGTGACAAGCTACTGATAACACCTTCACCCAGAACCTGCTGAAAACGAGAAATGTAGGTGCAAAATCACACCTGACATCTGCATGCAGACCTGCAGTCACGTTTCCATTCAAAAATTTAAAAAAATCAATTAATCCTCACCGAAACTGTTTTTATTCAACAAGTTTGTGCCTTTATACATTGGTTTCAATATAACTGGGGTGAATTCTGGGTGTTTGACAGAAGACTACAAAGCGTCACCTTTCAGAAGAGACCAGGGATGTGAATGTGTTATTTTGGGTTTGCCTTTTTTTGGACATGAAGCCTCATCCTGCAACAGTCTGCATCTGCTGAGTCAGATGGTAACGTTTGATCCCAGCAGATTGGTTGGCTTCAGGTTGATCCTTATTTCATAACTTGGTTGGTTTTATTGTCACACATTAAAAAGAAACTAAACTAAAATCCTCCTTTGTGAAGTTTGGTGAAATCGCCTGTGAGGCCGTGGCTGCTCTGTGCAGGTGAAGCATTTGGCCTCTCGGGGTGGATCTGTTATGCAGGAGTGGATGTCTTTGTGCGAGGTATTGTTCTCTTCAGTCACACATGGTCAAGAGAATTCAGGGATTTGGGGATTTGCTTTGGAGAATTCATTTCTTGCAATTGCAGCAGCTTAAAGAAAATGGGCTCAGTAACCACACTTCCATTTGTTCATGTTTTATTAAGCAGAGAGAGAAAAGGCCTGTGGGAGTATTTCCAGCCTGTACCTGAGTCTCGTTGCACTCTTTTGGAAACAGTCCTTGGGCCATCTAATAGGAGGGTTGGGAGGCTAGAGGGTTTTGCTGTCAGGCTCTGCAGCCAGAAAACATGATCCAAATATATCTTGTAGGATTTAGCTGTTATGCTTATGTGACAAGCGTCCTCCTGCTCCTCGGTGATCTGCAGTGAAACTCACAACAGCTGGTTTAGAGAGAAACTCGCAGAGTTAAAATAGACTGTGGGACACAGATAAGGAAAGCGAGACCGGTTTTGTTTTGGCAGTGGTTACATTGATGGCTGATCTACAGAGAAGCTCAGATATGACACCCAGCTCTTGTCACATGGAGTAACCCCGCCTCACCCCGCACCACTCGGCCTAAACACTGTGGAGAGGGCTTGTTGTCAACTCCACGGGGACTGACCCAGTTCCCTCTTGCAGCTAAAGGTCACCTCCTGTGGCTCTGGACTGTGTGTGTTTGCAGATTTAACTTCGAACACAAACGGTGAACTTCACAATGTCACAGTAAGACATCAGCACCAGGAGGGAGCAGAGAAAAGAATAATAATAATCCTTTTTTTTTTTTTTTTTTTTTTTGAACCAGTTTCAAGGCAAAGTCTTCGTATCTGAAATAAAACTTTTGCAGTTTTTACACTCGGGGAGTTGGGAACTGTCCCCTGAGTCCCAGTGGTGGTGGTTGTGGTCAGCGGAGGAGGCAGCTGGTGCTCCTATTATGTAGTATTAGCTCAGCGCCCTCAACCGCAGCCACAAACTTATCTGCCGCACTCATTTGCAATGGAAAAAGCTAAGCTGATTGGAGCCTGTCTGGCAGCGGAGGTGACGAGGTCTGAGGAAGGGAAGCCTGGCAGGCTCTTGTCGTCGCCCGCTGTGGCACCTTTACATTCGCATACAGCAACGTCATGTGGAGACCCGGTGGAAGGCAGATTATATTTAACTACCTATCATGACTACATAATTGTTACTTTAATCTCTGTGAATCTCTGTTTGGCATGAGGTTTCACATTGAATTGGTTCAACAGTATTTAGTTAATTCTTCATGGGTTCTTTTGGGCTAAAAAGGAAAGAATAACAGTCCACAGTGCAAAGTATAGACATTATTATAACTGGTTCAAGTATTCCAACATGTTGTCTCATGTAGAGTAACAAACACTTTACAGTGGCCAACCTTTTCCATTTTTCTCACTTTGAAATCAAACATTTCAGTGAAACTGTTCCTGTCCATGATTATTTAATCATTTTGTCTGTCAGCACTGTCCCTGCTCTCCAGACTTTCTGCTGTGTTTACACATATTGCACATTCTAACTAGAATATTTGCAGAGCTGCTGCGATTAGTCCATTAATTTTATCAAATAATCATTTCAGTGAATTTCTCAAAGAAAAAGCCAAACATTCTCCAGTTTCAGCGTCTTAAATCTGAACACCCATTCAGTTATTTTCATTCAGTACAACTAATCTACTGACAGTCAGTTGATCAATCGTTTTAGCTAACAAACATCTGAAAACTTCAGAAAAGGCCCTTGATTATTTACTGTACATAGCTTTTCCTTGTTTTGTCCAACCGTTCAGTTCAAAGCTCAAATAGATTTGTACTGCACACACACTGCATTCTGGTTAGACTGTAAACACAACAGTATTTGTCTATTAGTAAAATGTACAGTTAACAGGTTTTCAGCATGTGAGAGGAAGTGTAACCACAACCCAAAGCTTATTATTATGCTTCATCTATTTTTTTAGCACCACATGTGTAAACGCTCTATAGGAATGCACCAAAACAATGAAAGCTCACTAGTTCCAACTAGAAATCAGCCAAAACAGAGAAATACACAGATAAAACACATGATCCTTCATCTG